AAAAAAAAAAAAAAAGACAGAAAGAAAAAAGATAAACTACAAACTGCTAAATGATTTTGTAACACATTTAGTTAGGACTAGTATCCAGAATATATAAGGCTAGGTATACTAGCTCATGCCTCTAATTCTTGCACCCTGGGAGGCCAAGTCTGAAGGACTGCCTGAGCTTAGGAATTTGAGACAGCCTAAGCAAGAGTAAGACTGCATCTCTACTAAAAATAGAAAAAATAGAAAAAAAAACAAGCTGGGCATTGTGGCAGGTGCCTGTAGTACCAGCTACTTAGGATCCTGGCTGAGCCAAGAGGATCACTTGAGCCCACTGAATTTGAAGTTGCTGGGAGCTATAATACCACAGCACTGTAACCAGGGTGTTTGAGATTCTACTTCAAAAATAAATAAATAATTCAATAACAACAACAACAAAAAATTCTATGTTCTGCCTTCAAGAAAAACATCCAATAGAAAAGCAGGTTAAAAATATATAAACCAGGCTCGGCACCTGTAGCTCAGCAGCTAGGGCACCAACCACATGCACCAGAGCTGTTGGGCTTGAATCCAGCCCAGGCCTGCCAAATAACAATGACAACTATAATGAAAAAATAGCTAGGTGTTGTGGATGATGCCTGTAGTCCCAGCTACTTGGGAGGCTGAGGAAAGAAAATTGCTTAAGCCCAAGAGTTTGAGGTTATTGTGAGCTGTGATGCCACGGCACTTTACTGAGGGCGACAACTTAAAACTCTGTCTCCAAAAATACAAACCAGCACTTAAAAAAGACATTAGTAGCCAATCAACAGATGGAAAAATGTTCACCCTTATTAATAATCATTAAATTTTTTTTTTTTGAGACAGAGTCTCACTATGTCACCCTATGTAGAGTGCCAATGCGTCACAACTCACCACAACCTCAAACTCTTAGGCTTAAGTGAGTCTCTTGTCTCAGCCTCCCAAGTAGCTGGGACTACAGACGCCCACCACAATGCCCCAGGCTGGACTTGAACCCACGAGCTCTGGTGTACGCGGTGCCCTAGCCGCTGAGCTACAAGGGCCAAGCCCTAATGAATTAAACTGAGATGATACATCTCACATTGCCAGATTTTAACATTTTATTTATTTTTTTGACACAGAGACTCACTTTGTTGCCCTTGGTAGAGTGCCTAAGTATCATAGCTCACAGCAAACTCAAACTCTTGGGCACAAGGGATCCTCTTGCCTCAGCCTCCCAAGTAGTTGAGACTACAAGCACCCACCACAACACCCGGCTATTTTTAGAGATGGAGTTTTACTCTTGCTCAGACTGGTCTTAAACTCCTGAGCTCTGGCAAGCCACCTACCTCAGCCTCCCAAAGTGCAAGGATTATAGGTGTGAACCATCACACCCAACCCTGACTTTAACATTTTAAAAGTCTGATCAGGTCTGGTGCAATAGTTCACATCTGCAATCCCACCACTTTGGAAGGATGAGGCAGGAATATCACTTGAGGCTGGAATTCAAGATTAGCCTGGGCAACACCACCAGATCCTGTCTCCACAAAATTATTCTCAAAAATTAGCTGGGTGTGGTGGTGCGTGCCTGTGGCCACAGCTACTTGGGAGGCTGAGCCAGGAAGATTACTTGAGCCCGGGAGTTGGGAGGTTGCTATTAGCCATGATCATGCCATCACACACCATTCTGGGTGACAAATAAAAGTCTGATCATATCGAGTATGGGCAAGGAAGTAGACAATGACTATTCTCATAGCCCAGTGGAGGAATAGCAACTACAGAAAAGAATTTGGTGGGTGGCGTCTATGGCTCAGTGGGTAGGGCACTGGATCCATATACTGAGGGCGGCAGGTTCGAACTCAGCCCCAGCCAGCTAAAACAGCAGTGCCAACTGCAACAAAATAGCTGGGTGTTGTGGCGGGTGCCTGTAGTCCCAGCTACTCAGGAGGCTGAGGCAAGAGAACTGCTTAAGCCCAGGAGTTGGGAGGTTGCTGTGAGCTGTGATGCCACACCACTACTGAGAGTGACAAAGTGAGACTTTGTCTCAAAATTGGTATTACCTAGGTAAATTGAACATATCTATACTCTAAAATATAGTAACTTTACTTCAAATAATCCTGGGGCATTATAACTCAATAAGTCACTGTGGCATTTGTTAGAACAATGTGCTGTGCATTTCAGTACGGTTGTCATCTTTCTCCTGCCCACTCAATAAGAGCTCCCCTACAATCACTGTAACAATAAAAAACTCCATAATTTCTAAATGCTCCTTACGGTAATGCTAAACCTGGCTATAAACTATTGTCCCAAAGGAACTCTTATATGTAGTATATATGTATCCAGGACAAGTTCATACAGCACTGTTCATGGTAAAAAATTTTAAATTACATTCATTTATAGGAAAGTAGGTCAGCTGTGCTGTATGTATACAATGGAACAGTATAATATAGCAATGAAAATAAATCACAAAACAACAAAAAGTACTGAAAAATATATACAATGACTCCATTTTGTGAAGTTTGAAATGAGAAAAACTAAATGAATAATTATTCAGAAATACACATACATGTGATAAAACTACCAAAAAAAGTGAATAATACATTTTAGTATATGAGTTCCCTCTGGAGAAAAGGGAGGGATAAGCAATTGAGGAAACACATAAGACTTCTATTTCTTCAGCTCAGTGAAGGATATACTAGTGTTTGGCTTATTATTAGTATTATTCTTTAAACTGTGTAATACTTACTCTGCAGTTCACAATTTGTAAATTAAGAACCTTCTACATAGTATGCTAACAACATGCAGAAGCAGCTATAAAGATGTGTGTTGAAGGCATAATGTAGTATCTTTCCCTGCCTGGTGTCCCTATCATTTGTGAAAAAGCAAAGAACTGAATGAAGCTACTAACACACAGTGCTAGGCCCAGACCACACCTCTGTGGCATCCTCTTAACACTTTTTAACTTACGTTCCCTCCTATTATTTGCTAATAGGAGAAGATTCCAGGCAAACAAAAAGAACAAATGAGCATTATCTTGCATAGGTGGGCAAAATGGTATTCCACATACATTTATGTTCTAGGTAACTAAATTCTTGATCTTTAACCATCCTTTTCTGTGGTTTGCACTACTGTCCAATGAACAGATAGTTGGGACAGTACTACTAACACCTACACAACACGTTCACATCAACTAGAGCTCCGCTTTATATTGGTGCAATTTTGGGAAAAAAGAAAAATCTTTTTCCTGATGAAAAAAATTAATGCATAAAAAATAAATTCCTGACCTTTCATATTTGTACCGTAGATTAAAATGTATTAACATGAGGCCCAGCATGGTGGCTCACACCTGTAATCCTAGCACTTGGGAGGCCGAAGTGGGAGGATTGCTCGAGCTTAGGAGTTTTAGAGGAGCCTAAGCAAAAGTGAGACCCCATTTCTAAAAATAGCTGGGTGGCTTCCAGCCCAGCCCATTCGGGCTTGCTGAGCCTTGAGGCCGAGGAGAATGCACTCCCGGGCTTCGCTGCGGCTTTGCGAAACTACCGGGAGGCTGTGGCTGCCGGTACTTTTCTGGCGGTAGAGTTCACCACTGTGGTGGACTATTTACATTTGTTGCAGGCTGCAGCCTAGGCGCTCAATCCGCTAGGCTCTTCTGCGATGTTTTACCTGGCTGCGGCCGTGTCAGATTTCTATGTTCCTGTCTCTGAAATGCCTGAACACAAGATCCAGTCATCTGGGGGCCTATTGCAGATAACAATGAAGATGGTGCCAAAAATGCTTTCTCCTTTGGTTAAAGATTGGGCTCCAAAAGCATTTATAATTTCCTTCAAGTTGGAGACTGACCCCTCCATTGTAATTACTCGTGCTCGGAACGCTTTGGAAGTTTATCAACATCAAGTGGTGGTGGCTAATATCCTTGAGTCACGACAGTCATTTGTGGTTACTATAACCAAAGACTCAGAAACCAAGTTATTGCTATCAGAAGAAGAAGTAGAAAAAGGCATAGAGATAGAAGAGAAGATAGTGGATAATCTTCGGTCTCGACACACAGCTTTTATATGTGACAAAAACTGAAATAAAGCCCTTGTAGGATCAAATGGTGAGAACTAGAATAAATCCTTTGCTTTCATAAGTACAGAAATAATGAAGGAAAGGGAAAAAGTGATGTGCAGGCAAATAAAATTTGGGATTTGTCTTTTAATGACCAAGACACCTGACACACTCACCTGAATGTCATCTTGATTTTGAAATTGAACCTAAAGCTTTTTCTCACCTTTAACAAAAGAACTTAATGGGAATTATATATTCCTCAAAATCTACATGGGAGCCTGAATATCAGCCTTCTTCATACTATGAAAAGAGGATTATGGATGCATGAGTGATCATGCTTGGAAGATCAAATATTTGTTGAGTGCCTACTATGTGCCAGGTCCTATGCTGAGCTGTAAGGATTAAAACGATGAACAAATGTGTCTTGTTTGGAAAATGGATGTATAAAAAAGTACAATAAAGTGTGTGCCCAAAAGCTGAAAAAAATAAAAAATAAAAAAATAAAATAAAAATAGCTGGGTGTTGAGGCAGGCGCCTATAGTCCCAACTACTTGGGAAGCTGAGGCAAGAGAATCACTTAAGCCCAAGAGTTTGGGGTTACTGCGAGCTGTGATGCCACACGACTCTATGAGGGCAACATAGTGAGACTCTGTCTCAAAAAAGTATAACATGTATTCTCCATCATTATAATGATTTTAGTGAATGCTTTAGTGATTTTTTTTTTTTTTTT